CTTGTTACCGGATAAACCTAGAACAGAAAAATACAAAAGCAAAACCTGGGTCCTCCCCTGGTGGCGCAGCAGTTGAGGGCTGGGCTGAGAAGCTGCCCGCAGCCTCTGCAGCGCCGGTTCGATCCCTGGCTGCCGTCGAGGGTCCTACATGGTGCGCAGACCTCTCCAGCTGCGCCCGCTGCTCCCCTCAGCAGTGTACTTCGTCAGTCTGCCTGTTCTGTTCCCCTCTCTGGCTCTGGTGAATTCTCTCACCCTCCTGCGCTTCTGACTGTACCCAGTGCTTGTATAAATAAACAAATTAAAAAAAAGAAAAAGGCAAAACCTCAGGAGGAAAACACAAGAGGGTATCTTCACATTCTTAAGAAATCTTTGCTATTCCAAAATGATGACATTGGATTCCATTTTTTATGAGCTCTCTGAGTTAAGCATTCTTACTCTAGTTTCATTCTGCTCCTTGATATTCTGTTCCTTCATATATATCAAATCTAACAGGCACGTCTGTTAACTTCTCAAGAATGGAATCTTTCCAGCCTTTATTTAACTGTCCTCCCCTCCTCCTGCTGCTCCATCTTTCATTTTCCATCCATATTTCTCACATATTTAAAAACAAACCAGTCAACCTAGAAAGAGCAAAGATGACAATAGCAGCACTGAAGAATAAGCACTAATTTATGAGAGGAACCTAAAACATACAAGTAACACAGCTCCCCTGCCATTCCAAGTAAATCCCAGCAAAGGAGGCCAGGTTCCAATGACTACACATAGATTAGAAAAGAAAGATACGATAATGATACCTCCAGATGTTAGTATTTATGGGCAGGAGAATTACAGGATTGTGAGGTAGAGATTATGTGTTTTTCTGTATTTTCCACATATCACAGCCAATTATCATGCTTTCATTATCAAAAAATAAATTTATTTAAAAATTTTAATAGGCAATAATGTCGAGGGAACAGCATAATGTACATAATCACAGTATACTCTAGTGGGACTATAAACTGACACTAATTCTTGAGGGAAATGTATGTTTTGCAACCAAAATATTTGAAATGAGTGCCCCTAATTTAGAAACAGGTTTGTTGTGAAAGTGTTACTACTTTGGGCCTCCCCGGTGGCGCAGCGGTTGAGTGCTGGGTTGCGAAGCTGCCCGCGGCCTCTGCGGCGCCGGTTCGATCCCCTGCTGCTCCCCGGCCACCACAGGAGGGTCCCACATGGCGCGCAGACCTCTCCTGCCGCCTGCTGCTCCCCTCAGCAGTGTCCTTCGGTCCTTCTGCCTGCTCTGCTTCCCGCTCTGGCTCTGGTGAATTCTCTCACCCTCCCGCGCTTCTGACTGTACCCAGTGCATGTATAAACAAAACAAACAAACAAACAAACAAACAAATAAATAAAGCACGCCTCTATAAAAAAAAAATTAAAAAAAAAATACTACAGTTTATATGCTCAACTCAGCTTTTAATTTCATTCTGTCCATCTGATCAAGAGTCTAAACAGAAAAGTCATGTGAACAAGAGAAAGTCTACCTATCCAAGGCAGATGTGAATAGATAAAGTGTCTTTCTGACTCTGACACTTTTTAACATTTAAGAGTCATGTACACACAGCAATGCATATATACAGCCAGGTAAACTGAGTTTAATTTCCGAATCTGCCTATTTATGAGCTCAGAGAACATAGTTACTCACTCCTTTGTGTTTAAGTCTCTTTATATGTAAAATGGGGACCTATAACAGGACCCACTTTTTACAGAGTTATTGTGGAATTAAGACATGCAAAGCAACTTGAATAGCACCAATCATAAAAGTTCAATAATCGTTAGAATTTTCTAAAGCCAAATTCAATAAACATGGGCTACCTTTAAGACTGGGCTATATATAAGAATAAAATATAGTAAAATAAATACATATACCAAGTCTGGAGATGATATAACAATAAATTGTATAGTGTTTATACTGTATGCAGCATAGAATCTATTTTTAAAGATTTATTTTTAATTTATTTATGCATACAAGAACTGGGATCTAGGCCCAAGGCAAAGGAGGGGCAGGGGAGGGTGTGAGAGAGGATTCACCAGAGATAGAGTGGGGAGCAGAACAGGCAGATCTACTGAAATACACTGCTGAGAAGAGCAGCGGTGAGACAGGAGAGGTCTGCTGCTCCCTGGCCGGGGATCCAACTCATGCTGCAGTGGCTGGCAATAGCTTGCTAGCACGGAGACTTTAACCCCTGCACCACCAGGTAGACCCAGAACCTATGATTAATGGCCTTAATAAGCATGAAGCATGCTACCTCCCCACTTTCTCCTAAAAATATTCCAAAGGCATTCTCATTGCTCAAGTGCTCTCTATCTCACAAAAAAGAGGCAAATCACTAGCTGTACCCAGAACTGTCCCAATCCTATTCACTCGTTTTCTCTTCCGGTGGAATTAGAAGGAACAAAAAGTTGCCTCCCTGCCTATTTGAGAAGCTTGCAGCAACCAGTGAACATCATAGTTCACACACTACAAAGGACCTCAAGAATGCCTCAGTCAGGTTTTCTCCTATATTCCACATAGCACCAAGAAAATTCTGGGCACTTGATAATGTCCCTGAGAATATAAAGCCAGTATTCACCAAATTACCCCTCTTTGCTGCCAAAGAACAATGGGGCTTCAGTAATTTTCTCTTGTTATAGCAGAAATAGATAGGGCATGACTTCAACATTAGCAAAATGTCAAGATCACTCCAACGTGCATTTGTTCTAAATCAGCATGATGGCTGGTTAGCACTGCTCCGTGCTTTGGCCAGAGACTGTCCCAACCCCATTCAGCTGTTTGAAAATGAGAACCATAGTTGAGAAAATGTGTCTCTGCACTACTCCTGCTCAGCTTAGAAAAAAGAAAAGCCCCAAATGTCAATACTTCTTTTTAATTTGGAAGATTTACCACCCAGTAACTCTTTGAGTTTATGAGCTAGGGACCCCCGTCTAACTTATCAAGTACTATGTAAACTCCCTAATCTAGAGCATACCCAGAAATCTGTTCAACAGTGACTGAATGATCGTGTATACTATGTACTTTGTGTTCAACACAGAGGTAGCTTGACAATTATAATTCAATATATTTTCAGTCCTTATGGAAGATGAAAAACATCACTAGTTTTTCCATTCGAAGCAATCTGTTAAAGGCAACCAGCATTACTTGTAAACAGATTCCAAGCTATCAGGGGGGTAAATTAAAAATATACTTGCATGTTTTAGATACATTTTTAAAACCATTTGTCAGATTCTTATTCTGGCAAGATTCTTATGACTGGCCACACAGCTTCTTGAGTTTAAAAATGAATCTTTATATTACACTTTCTTCCAATTAAATAATAAATGCATATGGCTCTTTAGCATTTATTAGTTAAACACATTTTTAAGAAAGTTACAAAATGTCTTCATGTTCCACTCTAAGCAAAAACTTACTTTTCTATTTCTTGAAATACCCCTAATGCTGATAGGTAAAATGACTGTTCTCACATTACCTGGCCTGATTATCTTTTCCAGCAAAGGACGAACATATACAGAACATAGTAATATGGATTGATTATAGTCAATCTAAACATAATGTCCTTCCCAAAATTAAATAAATAATGGCAGAATGTTAAACTATTGAAGGGGACCAAGTGATTTCTAAAAAGATTTGAAGAAAGGGGAAAGTCCAACACCTCTGTCATACATTTCCTGCCTTCAAAGACCTCGGTGTCCATTTCTGAAATGAGAAGTATGCACAAGGGTTTCTACAGGAGGAGGTGGGGGTAGGGTGCACGTTCCCCCCCGCCCCCCACTTTGTGTGTGGTACAAGAACAAAACCAGGGCTTTAGGAAATCTCCAACACACATTCGTGTGTGTGTGTGTGTGTGTGTGTGTGTGAGAGAGAGTTTGTGTGGTGGGGGGGGGGGAAAGGGGGGTACAAAAAGAAAACCAGGGCTTTAGGAAGTCTCCAAACCTCCAAACCCATCTGAGCTCAAAAAAGCAGACTTAGATTTAATACTAACACTGGAAAAATAAAGTAGAGGGTGAAGGTTTGAGATAAAAAGTTAATACATTTTATTTCCTTACATAAACATTCTTAAGACAAACATGACTAGTAGAGAGCTAAAAAAAAGAAATAGAGACTGTAAACAAAGGTTGAAGCTATTTCTTTACTCTGATGGGGAGTGAATACTGCATTCCCTCAGCCATCATACACTCATGATCACCTATGCGCTCCACCTGACATATGCCCATCGCTCTCTTGAAAGCAGATGAAATGCCAAATCTTTCTGTGGTTTTCCTGATCCTGAAGGTCAGCAGCTGCCTGTCTTTTTAGTTCAAACATTCATTACGCCTACAAGATGCAGCTAGTTACAGACTGTATGAGTTAACAACTCAACTGTATTTATGCTTAACTTTTAGTACTGATCAGAAGATCATTAATAGCCAACCACCACTCTTTCATAATCCCATAACTCAACGCAGATACTGAACTCACTCTCTTTTGCATCCCACCAAAGCACAGAGCAGTTGCAACTTAATGAGTAATAAAGGATATAGTTTTTGCCCAGGAGGTCCTCGAAAGAAAATAATAAGTCATATCTTAAAAGATCAAGAGTCTCCTGTCTGAGAGCCAGATCTTCGGTTTTAGCTCTTGGATTCTAATGACTATATAATTTTCTCAGAAACTAGAGGAGACAAAGCATTTCTTGAATGGTGGCTGCTGGACACCACTGTAAAGGATGCTAATACATACATAAATAAACGGGGAAAGTGAGGGTTAAAACAAAACTAAAATGACTACTTTATTGTAGAATTTTTGCAGGATGTTAATATGCTAATATACATGATAAATTCCCAAAATAAATTCCTTTAGTGAAGTCTTTATTAAATTAATGTGAATAAAATCGTCTGGAGAATTTGGAAAATGTTTCAAAGCAGTTGTTTGGTTTTTTTTTAATTGTCAAAATATTAGAACACCAGATCAACTTCTGAAAAATTCTTACCTGATATGTGTTGCAGGCAGAGATTCATACTGTCGTGACAAAAAGAGTTCCCTATGTTTCAACTGATGCTTCTGTTTATCAGTCAAGTCAACCTCAACTGTTGTTTCAGATTCTTCCTCAATTTCTTCTACACAAATAAAAGTCAAAGAATTTATTATTATGAAACATTATCTACTTAGATATTAAGATAGGTCAAATCAAAATTTCATTTTCAATCTTTTAAGACTATTGATTTTAAATGTAACTTGTCATTTGAATTCCACGATAAAATTAAGCAACCAGGGTCTCAAAGGGAGAGAAAGAATTCCAATTTTAAAATGGCAGATGAAAAATTAAATGAAATAAAAATAAAAATGGCAGATGGAACATATGCAAATATCTTCTCATCCCCCATAAAACCACACCAAAATGGCAATTAAAATGTATTAAAATTACAATGGAAATGAAAAATGAAGTAACAATGGAAGAAAATTTTCCAACAAAAGGAATTTTAGCTGACTGAAAGCAGATGTACTAAAACAAACAAACAAAAGGGCAAACTTTTAGCTTTGAGAAGGGAAGTGGCAACCAACATGCATACAGAAGAGTTTGCCATTGAGAAGGAAGGCATGGAGCCTGCTATGAATCATGACTTAGCCTGTGAGCAAGAGGAGTGGGGGAGAGCTAAACACAGTGAGGAAGGGTTAAAAGTCTACCTACAACATTAGGAATAAATCCCAGGACACAAGAAATAAGGTAATACATTTCAGATTTGATTACACACACAATAAAAAGAAAACTAAGAAGGTTTGGATTAGAAGGTAATGCTGAGGAAATCTCTCCCAGAAATTAGAATGAAGAGATAACAACTGAAAAATAAAAAATGAAATAAAATCCTACATCCTGGTAATAAAAGGTCTGGTAATAGAAAGAAACAATACAGAAAACAACTTTGATTCTTTGAAGGGTAGAGGGGGGTGAGGAAACACCATTCAAAAAAATTATTCAAGAAAATTAGCTGGCACGTGTCAATTTTTGTTTAAAAAATGTATCACGGGGCCTCCCTGGTAGCGCAGGGGTTAAAGACAGCGCTATCAAGCTATTGCCGGAGCTGGTCAGGGAGCTGACCCACATGGCATAGCAGACCTCTCCTGTCTCTCCTGTCTTGCCCGCCACTCTCCTCAGCAGTGTATTTCAGTAGATCTGCCTTTTCTGCTCCCCATTCTCTCTGGTGAATCCATTCACAACACGCACCTCTGGCCTACACCTCAGTTCTTGTATGCATAAATAAATAAATCTTAAAAAAAATAAAATTTAAAAAAATCACAAAAGTTTATAAAAAGGAAACAGGTCAATTGCAAAGAAACTAGACTCATATGAATAGCAACACTATATGCTAAAATGGTAGAGTGATGCCATCCAAAAGGAAAAATATTTATCCTAGAATTATATAGTAAATTATTTAAAAATTCTGTACATAAGAGTATGGATAACCTTTCATTCATCCAACCAGTATTTATTAGGTGTCCCAAGAGGCACTATCCAAGGTGCTAGAGACAAGCATGAGCAAAAAAATGTTACTAAGAAGAAGCAATTCAAAGTGACTGCTTTGGGAAACAGGGTTGGAAGTATAAACATCAATTTTCTGGCAGGAAAGAGAGGAAAGCCATTTGCAAGTCTGAACCAGCTATGCAAAATCTGATGCCCGCAGGTAAAGCCAGCTTTGTCAACCCCACTGGTGAGGAGTCAGTAAAAAAAAAAAGTTTAATATCAGATCCCCCAGCCTTTGCATCTCTGCAAGGCATTTCTGCAGAGGAAGAGATTAAATCCTGCATTGCCTTCCTCCGGCATCAATGTATCTTTAAGTCAGGACAATTTAAAACTATGAGTCCCTCCTATCAAGAATAACTACATCCTTAATTTCAATGACTCACCATTCCTACCTTATAAATTAAATTCAAACTCGTGTTTACTGGAACAGTTTTCACAAAGCAAAATCTGTGAGACTGTTTCCCAGGTTCAAACCTTCATTTGACTACCTAATAAACTAACTTTATGTTTCCAGTTAACAGAAGGAAAAGATGGTAAAGACAGGAGACAAAGTTTTACATGAGTTTTTTTTTTTTAACACTGTGCTTAGTCATTTTTCCAATGCCCAAATGTCATTTTTTATAAGCTAGATATAAATCCAACTTATTTTGGATATAAAAATTCTTAAATATAATAATACCTCTAGTGCTCACAGACCCTCCTGCAGGCTTACTGGGCCAGAACGGCTATGGGAATAGCGGGAGCACTGAGAACTCAGAAAGTAAGACCACTACATGGGGGAGTACATTGAGAGAGCTGGCCCCCCACAAAGGAAGAAGGGGCCTGAATTTCTGAACATTAATTGGCAACACATAGAGCAACAGATATCTGTTCTTCACAATTCTTTTTTTTTTTTAAAGATTTATTTTTATTTATTTATACAAGCACTGGGTACAGTCAGAAGCGCGGGAGGGTGAGAGAATTCACCAGAGCCAGAGCAGGGAGCAGAGCAGGCAGACTGAAGAAGTACACTGCTGAGGGGAGCAGCGGGCGGCAGGAGAGGTCTGCGCGCCATGTGGGACCCTCCTCTGGTGGCCAGGGATCAAACCAGCGCTGCAGAGGCTGCAGGCAGCTTGGCAACCCAGTGCTCAACCGCTGCGCCACCGGGGAGGCCCTGTTCTTCACAATTCTTATAAATTCTTATTTACGGACCCAGAGTCACAAGAGACTTTACCACACATAATCCGCTGGTTGTTGCAATTCTTTTGAATTGCATGAGGGTAATCACTGAGCTCAGCATCAGATCTTTTCTACTCTCAAACTTTTAAAACTGAATTGAAAATGAATCTAAAAACTGATTAAAAAAATTTTTGACTCACCTAGCTCAAAAAAAGAATAAAATGAACTAAAATTCTTTGAATGTCCTTTTTTTATCATTAAAGATTTATTTATTTATTTATTTTTATTTATGCAAGAACTGGGGTACAGGCCAGAGGTGTGGGGGTTGCGAGGATTCACCAGAGACAGAGTAGGGGAACAGAACAGACAGACTGTCTGAAATACACTGCTGAAGGGAGCAGCGGGAGAGACAGGAGAGGTCTGCTGCACCATGTGAGTAGCTCCCTGGCCAGGGATCCATCTCTTGATGCAGTGGCTGTGCACCACCCTGAATGTCCTTTTAAATGAACTACTCAAAAAGAAATATAGCGCTAAAAAAGCCATTCATTTGCAAGTTCTGTAACATTTCACCAGTGGAGATCAGAGAAGTTAAGTCATTGCTGCAATGGCCCTATTAGCACCAGCAAATATCACATACAAAATTAATACTCTTCACATGATTAGGATTTGATAAAATGCTGCTGTGTAAAACAAAGCTAACTGAATGCTACTACATGCCTAGACAACTGAAACAGAAACAAGCTCTGTAACAATAACAGCAGTAAATTATTTTCCTATAAATCTCTTGGTACAGGACGAAAAGGACCAAAATCACTGAAGTCTAACCTACTCAGAAACAGAAACCCACTTTAAAGTTCTGTCAGATTTCATGTACATATTTCTATAAAGGTCTGTTGGCTTCTACATAGAAATGAAGGAATGATTCGTGTGCCACTCACTTCCCATAAACATTGAAAAACCACCGTGGCAAAAGATGATATAAAGACACTGAAAACTTTAAGAGACCCAAGTATAACCATCACCAAAGATCATGTACATGGTAATATATTTATAATTAACATCATTTGAAAAATTGTTAGATTTCAAAATTTTACATTACAAGATAAGAAAGAAGCCAGAGCCAAAAAGCTCAGCAAGGCTAATCAAACAAGCAGACTAACAGGGATAGGATAAGGTTAGCATAAACAAGTCCAAGAAACACAAGTCAGAGAAGAAATCAAACAAGCTGAGTAGTCCAGAAGGCCAGGGTATCCAGTTACGGGACATGGGTGATGAGTCTTTACCACTGGTTACAATCAAGAACTTGAGCAAAGTTTTAGACTTTGGGTATGTGGCATGTACAAGGCCAAGACAGGTGGCTGATGAATTAAGGAGGTGCAGCCATGACTGATTCAAGGAACTTCATCTGAAACTGGGTATTTTTCAGAACACATCAGAATTATAATTGCACCTGTTAGTTGAGAGGAAGTAGACGGGAGTTTTTTCCAATATTATTCTCAAGCATTCTTTTTTTTTTTTTAATAATATGTCAATTTATTTATTTATTTTTTTAAGATTTATTTATTTATTTATACAAGCACTGGGTACAGTCAGAAGCGCGGGAGGGTGAGAGAATTCACCAGAGCCAGAGCGGGGAGCAGAGCAGGCAGAAGGACCAAATTACACTGCTGAGGGGAGCAGGTCTGCACACCATGTGGGACCCTCCTCCGGTGGCCGGGGAGCAGCCGGGGATCGAACCGGCACTGCAGAGGCTTCGGGCAGCCTCACAACCCAGCGCTCAACCGCTGCGCCACCAGGGAGGCCCTCTCAAGCATTCTTTATTCTCTATTTTAATAAAATATCAGTCCATAGTGATGTTGATACAGAAAAGCTGGTGATAAAAGATTCATCTACAGTTACATTTAACTAATATCCAAATGTTTGAAAGCCTGCTACTAGACTGAAAATAGCTCAATGTTGATGCAACTCAATCCTGCCGGAAAAAAAAAAAAAATCCTCACAAATATTAGAATTTTTATGACAATTGAAATTTAAGGAACTATCTGAATGAGAGAAAAAGTTTGGCAGCCAGAGGCAAAAGATCAATACACAAAAACTAATTATATTTCCATCACTGGTAAACAATCCAAAACTGAAGTTTAAGTAAACTTCATTTACAACAGCATCAAAAGAAAAAATACTTAAGAATATATTTGACACAAGACAAAACTTAAATACTAAAAACTGCAATAACTTTTTAATTTTTTTTAAAGATTTATTTATTTATACAAGCACTAGGTACAGTCAGAAGCGTGGGAGGGTGAGAGAATTCACCAGAGCCAGAGTGGAAAGCAGAACAGGCAGACCGAGGAAATACACTGCCGAGGGGAGCAGCGGGCGCGGCAGGAGAGGTCTGCGCGCCATGTGGGACCCTCGCCTGCGGCAGGGGATCAAACCGGC